GCCGACACACAGTGGGGGCCTAACTCTTGCGAACGACATCAGGCAATCATCAACGTACACTGTGAAGCGGACGGCGCGTATGTACGTATATTGAATTTCTTTTTCGCCGTATGTAGCCCGCAGTAGTAACCAGGGCGGCCGACAGGATTCGAACCGTGAACCTCTGCAACAAGCGGTGATCGTGCTACACCGCTGGGCCGCAGCGCCACCCGAGGCTGTGACGTTCTTGGTTCAAGAATGATGTGTTCTCGTGGGCATCTAACGTGGGTGTTTTTTGGTACATGCGTAAGTTAGTCTTGCGCGGGAGAGATGTGGCCAGGAGTTATAATAGTTAAGTGTGCAACTTGCAATTTAGAAGGCTTCTGTTCACATCCTGGTTGAGATCAACTCGGCCGTTCATGTCTCCAGGGTCGATAAAATTAATATCGCTTTAGTTTGTTGTCCTTCCCCCACACATCTGATTAGCGCGGTTGGCTGCGTACGGTGCAAAAGAAGTTCGTGGAACATGCATACAATAGTGGTTTTGTCCTGTGGATAGACTCGCTGCCATCATAGGAATGAGGAATGTCCACCACTAGGTCGGGATTAAAAATGTGGCGATGTAATCAAGCTCGCGTGCAGGTTATCGGTGGATACTGGCATTGCAGAACCGTAGCTGAGATACGATGATGGATGGGAACTGTAAGCAGAAGATACTTGGCCCGTGCCCATCCGAACCGGAATGTCTCATTGGCCGGACTCGACGTTCCTTAATCGTGCATCCACGGTCGATGTCAAGTCGAGCCCGACTGACTTTGTGTTCTACAACTGACTGTTGCACACCAGGTAGCCTCACTGGCAATGCTTTTTTTTCCTCGTCCAAAAATGTCCATCCCAATTAAATCTGTATCAAGTCCCAGCCCTGCAAATCAGGGAACGTGCAAAATCTCCCTTATTACTGCACCCTCGAATGGTGTCTCGTGACAGTGTGCTCGCTAATTCTGTGTGTACGTGTAATAATCTATTCCATCAAACAAAACAACACAATTTGTATTTTTCTAGTCAATTACAACTGTGTATTATCACAACCAGACAGTCGGGTCACACTTTCCCACTGTAATACACATTAATAATGTTTTTAAAGTCTATTATTATATAGATTATATAGCTCAAGTAAAGGGTCTGGTGGAGGGGAGAGAGCATATGTTCGTATCAACGGCTAGAGCCATGGTGGCAACTTAAACCTTAATTATATCATTTTGCAATTCACATAATTACGTTCGTGGTATATTTTCAATTCCTCGTGTGATGCGGCTTTTTGTTGTTTTGTTGTTTTAACTGTTGTTTACTTTGTTTTGCTCATTCTGTGTTGGTGACCTAGGTCACTCTCGCAAATGAGACTCATCCTGGTCTCTTGAATTCACACCTGAAAACACAATCGACTTGAAGTCACCTGCTCACTGATTCACCCACCCACTCACTCACCATCTCACGAACCTACTCACCCACCCACTCAATCACCTACACAATCATTCACCCACTCTCGCAAATGAGGCTCATCCTCGTCTCTCGAGTTCTCACCTGGTTATCAATCAAAATAATAAACTTCAATCCGCCGCTGGATGAAAGCCTCCGCACACCGTGTCGTTGACGGGGGTTGTTTGACCATACTTCGCCACGCTTGTCAGCGCGGATTGGTAAAGTAGTGGTAGATCCGATTATCGCTTTTAAGTGTCTCTCGCCGCTGATGTTAGCCGTGGTCAGGAGTAAAACGCAACACACAGGACCCATGGCGCAGTGTGCGCGCAGCTGCACAGCCACTCACCCCCAACATACCTGTAACCATCAGCCGTGATCAATTCACTGCTGCAGGATTGATGGCCTCTTGTTGCACGTGCTGTGTTTACATTGCTCACAAAGATAATTGGAAAGGCATGCTGATAATGTCCACAGTAGAGGTGCAGCACTGCAATTGCTTGTTCTCACCACTGCTGGCAGAAGGACCTTCACCAGAAGGGAACTCGAGAAAGAGCCCCCCCGCCCCCCTTCCCCCGTGAATGTATTTTTGTGACCTCTTCCGCGCTGACCAAACATCTTGAAAGAGGTGAGAGCAACAATTTGCTGAACCCGTTCTGGGCCTCTGCTCGGTCGACTAAGGCTCAAACGAGTACCTGGTGCAATGTAAACATTGCCGCTAGGGAGAGACAAAGGCGGTCAGGCGTGGGGCTAGTCACCCCACCCCCTCGTGTGCCGTGTCAGTTTTAATAGGTGCTATATAGATTTCACAGTTGATAGACTCAACAGTCTATATAGCTACGGGGATCTTTGTGAATGTGTGTATGTGAATGTGTGTCTGTGTATGCACATGAGACTGTGTGTATGTGTGTGTGTGAATGTGTGACCAGGAATCGAACGCACGTCGCCGGTTTCATAGCGCAGCGCGCTAACGGCTGTGCCCACCCCTCCTCTCCACGTGCAACACAGATCTTGAGATGACCGCGGGCCTGCTCACCTACACCAGGCTGTGCCCCCCCCATTCCCCCAAACCCCCCAATTTTCTTCACCTCCCCCATTCAACCCCTCCAGCACCCCTTAAACACACCACTACCCCACCATCCTCCCTCCCTCCCCTCCCGCCTGATCAAGTAAAACCATATAATCCCATTTAGTAGTACAACGCCCTCCCTGCTGTCACAGCCAGCTGCATGCCTGCCCCCAACCCACACCCCTGGGGTTACACGGGGAGATTGAGTCTGCCAGGAGGGAGGGGGGGAGCCGGGGGAGGGGAGGCACAGACAACAACGTGTACCCCCCCCCCACCTCCCTCCCTAGCCACTGCCCTGACCCGCTCCCCACACCCCTGCGTTCCCCCCCCCGTCTCCCCTATCTCCTTCCCTGGAGATGTTTACAAGCCAGCTGATTACTGCCACTGCTTCATGCTGGGGGGGAGGGGGGGGCATAGCCATCGAGTGTGTAGGCAGTGCAACTGCACAGGGGCGCTCAGGCTGGAAGAGTCCCAGGCTCTGGGCCACGAAGAAGGGCGGGGATACGACAGAAGGCCCTCTATGTCATTCTTTGCACGTTGGCCCATGGCCCAATCACGCGACTCCACTGCTTGATGCGACGATACTTTGGCTGTGCGGTTGCAGCAGTCATTGTCTTCTTTGCAGGCAGGCAGGCTGGATTGGCGTGGGTGGAGAATGAGAGAGAGGGGGGTGAGGATGGGTGGATGAAGGGATGGGGAAGGTCTGATTGGTCGTGGGCGGGGCTGGGGGTGAGAACACGTTAAACACAGGCTGCATCTACCCTCGTCTGGACTAATTACTGATCAGAGCAAACACGACGCGACACAATTAGGCGCATAATTAGTGCTGTTTTAGCGCCCCTTGTTTGCTGCGTTTGCGCCGGAGCGAGCAGATTAGGGCGCAATCTGCACGTACAGCAGCGATCATGGATCAGCGCAAAAAAAAGCCCTTTCATTATTATATCATTTGTGTTGGGAAATGCTACGGGCAGTTATTTATTTCATTGCTTTTCAATAACATTTTGATTGCATTCAGAGTCATAATTATCCCCTGCGTGGCCAATAGAGTAAAAAAACGTACCCGCCACTTATCTTTAAAGGGACAATTGGCAATCACCCTAAGTCTCGTCAAACGCCATGTTTTTTCTCTCTCTCTCAATTAATCTAAAAGAATTGGCTTCGCCGGTTATCTGATGAGTGTTGTGCTCTAATTTTGGCGTCCCGTAGATTACCAAAAAGCCGTTGATTTGCGTCTTCCTCGTCGGCGACAACGCCTTGCGACCGTTTGCTGCTCACAATCAAACCGTGTGCCTCATTAACCTTGCGCGGGCACTTTAAGCACCGCGCGGATTAATTTAGCAGCGCCGTGGTTGTGCAGAGAACTATGACCCAAGCACGTAGGGACTCTACCGGATCGCATTCGATTTTTTTTTTCCAAGCTCGTGTTTGAATGGGTGATCCAGCGTGCGCGGGCAGGTTGTCACAGGCCGCTGTTCTGTGGCCAGCAGCGAAGGGCAGTGCAGAGAAATCCATCGCTGCGCTGTGCTTCTATACTCCCACTTCTATACTCCCCCGCATTTGCACCGACCCCACACTGACCATCGTGGTGAAGTGTGGTCGAATAACCTCCACCACCTGAATGGACGAAGAGGCGTGACGATTGTTCATGAATCATGTACCTGACCCTTGCTCTCATGAGTAACGGGGGTAACTGACCACTGCCTGACCTTTCAATATAAAATCCTAATCAACGTCCAACAGCTGTTATTATTATACAGGCGATGGTTCTGGTGTCTCTAGAAATGTACTTCCCCTTTGTCGTGTTGAAAGATACTTCTTGTGAAAACTATCTGGTTGGTTTTGCGCGAAGCTAACGCCCAGGCCAGATTGGAATATCAATGTCGCATGTCAAGATCCATTGTCATTTCAGAAAGTGGTCGAGAGAATGTATGGGTTGTACGATGCATTGATTAATCAATTATCATTGATTCTTACTTATGTATTTGTGTTTTGGTCTTCCTAATGTTATTCTCGCTGCGCTATCGTCATGATGACACAAGGCATACATTCGGAAATCTCGGCCCTATTGTGTCTTCTTATTCCTCTCTTAATGGGGTGTTTTATTTTTCAGTAAAGGTGGCGCATCCTCTGATACACACTGCTATGAGACTGGTGTTTGTTACGTTGACGGTCAACAGATGTTTTAATTCTCAGAACTGGTATTCCGTCAAATTAAGTGACGACACAATTTTTTGTAATTGTATATATTTTGTGCTGAAACTATTCAACAACAATAAAATTCTGCGGTGAATCCAATAAAAAAAAATACATTTGTAAGTAAACAAAAATGAACTCTGACATCTGAAGGTCAGAGTAAGAATGCTTGTGCTCCCATTGCCTCTCGCCATGCCTCAAGTATCACCCCTTGAGTCTCACCCCTTAACGCCTGCTCACTTATTAATTCTCCTTGCCTTTTCCCTCTCTCATTTTCGCACAGATTGACGTCTCCCTGTTGGAGCCAGAGATACAAGCGTCGACCACGGACAAGATCCTCACTTACAACAAGGGCCTGTGAGGCAAGTGACGCCTCCTCTCTCCACCCTGGAAGACGCCTGCAAGAAATCAACAAATCGCAACTCTCCCCATGGCTCGCACCTGCACGTCCCTCCCAGGCAAAGGCCCTCATCGCGTTGCGTCGTGGTGCGTGCGCCGCTCGCCGCATGCGGACCGACGCAGCGTTCGGTGTTTTTTTCCCCCCCTCTCTCTCTTTCCCTGGGATTGTTTGGCATTGTGGACGTAATGTGACATGCGCCTTTATTGAGCAGCAAGTCATAATTCTCGGCAAACCCTTTGACCCGCTGGAATGCGTGAGCTACTTAAAAATAACCCCCCCCCCCCCCCAACGCAATTTTACAAGAGTAAAAAATTATTTAAAAAAAACGCGGCCCTACCAAGAGAGAGAAATGTAATGGCTGTTATTTAATGCCGTGCCTTCCTACGGCAGAGAATGAAACCCTTCGCAGTGAACACGGAACAAAATCCCTCTGAGGTCAACAACAACGCTTTGAAAGATAAGCCGATACAAGCTTAGTATAACGTTCACATGGGGGTTTGAACCCGAAGAAGGGGAGGTAGACGTAGAGAGAGAGAGAGAAAAAAAACCGCGTGTTTTGAGCGCTGCAGAAACGGACAGCTGCACCAACTCGAATTCCTGTCGCGTCCGACACGACGCGACAATGATGCAGGGCCTTTGTCGAGAGACACGGGGGGAGGGGGGGGGACTGAGCGGGCCAGGAGGGGAAGAGCCGCTCATTACGTAATCGTCCCCGATACCTGCACGCACACCGCGCGGCACCTCTGACTAGCACGGTTGGCTACGTACGGTGCGAAAGAAGTCCCACGTACGTGCCAGTTTTTTTGTTGTTCCCTCCACATCGCGTGCCAGCCGGGTTTGAGCTACAAGTCCGGTTCGTCGACGGGTCTTGATTCTCTCGCTCGTGGTCGCGCGCGTGCATCAGCAGAGAACCGCATCGGGTAGCGACGATTCGCGTCGCGTCACAACGGCTGTGTCACGTGTGCCCCCCCCCTCTCCCCCCCTACCGCAAGCCGCTACAGCTGCTTACACTGCCATTGACTGCAGTGCTAAAACAAAAAAACTGTCATTGGTTCTTGAAATGTGTGTCATGGATCGTGGGAATTCATTGAATCACTCAGTGCAGTGGGGGGGGGGGGGGGGGGGGGGGGGGTTTGAGGGGGTCTGGACCTTGTCCATTAGCCTGCTAGCCCCGTAATTGGGTCTTGTGCTCACAATCCATAAGTTGGATTCCATAAACTGGATTGTGCGCGTATAAACAGCCGATGGTTTACCGCTCATGGAGATGAGACGCTTACGATATATTTAGGCTAACGGAGTGAACAAAACTGCGCGAACTCGAAGGGGAAGAAAGATAATGCAGATGACACAAAGTGAATCGGCTGGGAAGGCGAGGTGTCATGTTTCTGCCTTGCGGGGCATGTTGCGCTGCATTGATTCGTCGATTACAACTGATTAATTATGATTAAAATAGCGATAAGCGCATTACATAGTTTGTGTAAGGATGAGTTGTTTTTGACGAATCCTGTTCGTGGTGCGTTATTTGTTTGTACGACGCCTGCAGCCACAATTAACGATTTGTTTCCTCTCGTTCCGATAAATCGTCGCGATTTGAGGTCACGGTTCGATTACAGAATCAATGTGGAGAGGAGGAGGGGGAGGAGAGGGGTGTGATTATTCTTTTGTTCTTTCGGTAAAGTCACGTAGAAAATAAAATGTAATAATAAAAGAAACATAGTAAACTTATGAATAATATGCAATACAACACGGAGAGTCGACTAACACAACGCGTGTTGACTGTTGTTTTAGCCGACTCTCTGTGTTGTATCGCATTATATTTCAAAAGTTTACTACATTTGGTTTTCTAATTCATTCTTACCTGATGACGGTTGCTTGTGTTGCAATCGAAACGTCGTATTCTATTACTATTTAATTTAATTTTCTACGTGACTTCACCGAAAGAACCGAAGAGTAATTCCTGCAGTCACGAAAGCTTCCAATCTAGGGGTGTGATTGTTGTGAAAAGTTAACGTAGCGTCGTCTCTCGTGGCTGCAAGGGTCGCGTGCGGCAAACGCAACACAAGAATATTGCTGCGTTCCGTAAAAAGAAGGCCCTGGTTGGTGCCATGCAGCATGCACGAGAGTCGTATTATATTAGTGTTGTTGTTGTTTCTGTAATTTAAATCGACGAATCGGTGCCTCGTGACTTACCTAGAGAATAAGCTGTTGCTTTCAATCACCTTGACCAAGGACTCTAGAATGTTGAAAGTACGCTTTGTTGTGAGTTCGCTTTGGTCAGAGTCTTGAGCATGATATCTGAGATAATTGTCCTTGGCATGTAAGGTTGTGAATGTATTCAAGCCGCAATCATTATTGTTCGCTCTCGTGCCTGCAAAATGTTTAGTAGCTGAAAATATAATGAACTTGCGGGCTTCCATAAAACATGCACATAATCATAATATATTCGTAAATAAGTATATGACTACAGTAATAATTAATATAATGCTGGATTGAAGGGCTTCTCACATCGTGATGATCATTGCGGTTGTTTGACCATACTTCACCATGGTAGCCAGCGTAGGTCGGTGAAGGAAGGGGTAGGGTGGCCAGAACCGGTTCAGATGTCAGCCCCTGGTTGGGGATCGAACTCGGTGTGGCTGGGTTGATAGTGCAGTTCTCTGTCTCAGCACGGTGTAAACACTCCACAGTTGTCTGTCATGTAACAATGTAATGAAATAATGTAACGTTTACAAGATGTATTAATTGTTAATGCGTGACGCTAAGTATAATTTTAATTATGATGCTGTTGAAAAATCCCACTCACACTTGTGGTCTGACTGTTTTGTTAAAATGTACGCCTCACACTAAACAGGGTAGCACATCTATTGAACAATTTCTCACCGAAATAAAGTTTACACTTCAGTGATATCGTTCACGCTTGCGCGTTTCATGTTGACTGTCGTGTACATCGTCAATAATAATGATGGCAATTCTGTTGCGTCAAGTGCCGCACGCGTCATCTATATTTGTGCAGAATGTCAGCTCTTTACGACTTCAATAACATCACAAAGAATGAACATGTGCACAGAGAGAAAGAGAGAGACTACAAGTGGGAATAACCTTTTTATTATTATTATCTATCTACGTGACTTTACCGAAAGAACCAAAGAAGTGAATTCCTGCAGTCACGAAAAGCTTTGAGTCAAGATTTAATTACTGAGACGTTTGACCAAAAGGAACTGGGCCACGTGCAGGACATATCCTAAGAATTGGACGCAGATGATTCCGCATAGGGAAGAAGGAAACGAATAGAAATATCGGCTGGTGGGAAATTGTTAGAGTTGAGTCTCCACGAGAGACGCAGAAGATCGTGAAATAAGGAAAAGGTCTTTAATAAGGATGACACTAGATCGATTGAGAACATCGTCATGATTTAAATCGGTTGGTGAAGCATGAATATCTGATTATGTATTTGATTATTGTTGATCATAATTCACATTTCTACTCTTTGGTTCTATTCGGCAAAGTCACGTAGGTAAAAAAAATAACAAAAATCACGACGATATCACATTCCCATGTCAGTGTGCTGGCTAAAGGTGTCCCACATCGTGCCAATCGTGGAGATTAATTGACCATACGTCACCACGCTGGCCATTGTGAGTGAAAGTGGGGAGCGTAGGACCGGTTCGGATATCATTCGCTTACTGACGTTAGCTATGGCTTGAAATGGAACCCGGGTCGTCAGTCAAATAGCGCTGCTACAACCGCCAACAACGACCATTCGCCACTAAGTGGTGGTGACGTCACCGCGGAGCTTGTGCCAGGCTACGTGCACGTTAAAGCCACGTGAAGTGTCGAACGCCCGCTGGTAGGAGGTCATGGTTCAGACCCAGCAGGTGCCATGGGTTGTCTCAGTTCACTGGCTGATTCACCACCTGTGCCCCCTAACCGCCGTACCGCTGCTATGAGATGGTATTGTTATTTCACCTGTTTCAACAAGAACGAGTTGTGCGATACCCACCCATTCGCACCATTCACTCGCATTGGCAACATACATAAATCGGTACCCATGAAGCTTAATAACGAAGAGTAACGCAGGTCTGGGCTCGTGGCCAACCCAGACCGTGCGACGAATTCCATGGTAACACCAAGTGAAACGTACGGCGCTGCTTCGTCGCCTATTAAAGTCGCTAGCGAGGATACGGGCCAGCGGCCGAGGCGAACGATGGGGAGTGGCAAAGCCGAGGGGGGCGGACACGCCCGAAAGTTCACCACCTGAGATGGAGGCCACGAGGATCGGCCTCGCCGTTGCGTGCGCAGGCGCGAGATGGATCCTTGCATCGCGAGTCCACGGGCAGACGGCCGCGACGGCTCTGGGGGAGCCGGTCGACGATAATGCCGGCCGAGTGAAATCATAATCATGTCTGGGCCTCGTTAACGATACGCGGACCTACGAGCACCATGGAGAGCTTGCGCCGGGCCAGGTTGCCCCCCCCCCGCCCCCCACACTTTTTTGAGGCCGCGCGAAGTGTCGGCAGGAACTCGCCGTAGCCTCCTCCCCACGTGCGCTTCTGTCCGCGGGCGCGCGAGACGCGCTCATCCTCGCACACGTGTTCACGTATGCGAAACAAGCGCATACTCGCGGCTCTCTTACACCCGCCCTGCGCATTCCCCCCCTTTCGCACCTCTACCCAAACATCGGCTCGAGTTCCGCTCTTATCTTCGCGCTGTTTGCAGAGCCTGCACATCCCGGCGCGTCACGTGCCCGCTCGTATTGTGACAGCGTTTGTCACGAGCGTGGCGGTGACTCATCACCGCCCCCCCCGCCCCTTGTCTAAAGACGGCTCCTGCTGCCGACGCTCCCTGCGACTGAAAACGTGGGGCAAAGGGGCCGTCACGTTTACTGGCACGGGATGTCGAACGCCGACAAAGACAAAGCTTCCCCGTGTAGCCTTAACATACTGTTGGGGCAAGTGCTGTTAGCGAGCACCTATGAAGGCAAGCACGGCACACGAGGGAGGTGGGTGGCCAGCGCCACGCCCGGCCGCCTTTGTCTCCCCAAGTAGCGATGTTTACACACCGCACCAGGTACTCATTTAAGGCTGAGTCGACCGAGGGGAGGCCCAGGATCGGTTCAGATAATCGTCAATAGTATTAGCCGTGAGCAGGAATCGAACTTGGATCGTTGGGTTTGTAGCGCAGCCGCGCTAACCGCTACTCTACCGCTCCCCACACTATCGGAATAATTTGTGTGCGAGCTATGATGAAGACCCGTTTGGCCGAAACGTCGCCACTATAAGTCATTGAGAAGCTACGAAGGACCATTGCCTGAACAATATATATGTTTTATTTTAAGGCTACAATGTTGTTAATGACGAGTGAGTTGTTATTGTTTGTTAATTTTGCACCACTGCCAACGCAGCAGCATCATTGAGTAATGTGTTTACTCACACTTAGGCTTTATTATTTCAGCTGGCAAGGAAGGCCCCATTGAGGCAATAAGCTCTGTTACAAGGACGATCACAGCCCAAGACGGGCGGTAGTGGCGGTAGCTTCAGAACACCTCAGAGAGGAAATGTGTAAACGTGCAAGAACTAACACAACACTTATTTACACGAAAAACACACGCGCGTCGGTTGATGTTACGTGTGTGCGTGTGGTGTAGTCGTATGTAGTTATGTTCCGTGTACATGTACAGCCCTTGGTCAATCTACTACTGCATGCAGCCTTCTCCGCACAGTGTCAGTCATCGGGGGTCGTTTGATTTTGTGGTAGGTATAGAAAGTGAAGGCCCGGGACCAATTCAGTTATCACTCGCCACGAATGTTCGCTGATACCGATAACGACGATTAAATTCGGGTCGCTGGGTACATAGGTGCTGTGCGCTAACCACTGCGCCACTGTTCCACTCCTAATTACTGGATGGGTTGGCAATGTGCAATTGTTTTCACCATTTTAGCATCAATAGATGTTTTGTCGATGTGCCTTGGGTGAAAGCGGGGAGCGTCGACGTGGGAGCAATAGAGGCACGGGGGTGATTTGGTCACAGTTATCCAAATTCACGTTTGACACCAGACACCTCCACGTGCTCTAACAGTGATTTGTTTTCTCAAAAAAATAATGCCACGTCCGTTGAGAGACAGTCGAGAAATGTACGCACGACGCTCTTGGATTTCCCTGCAGGCTGAAAATGGCAACTGGCAATTAATTTATTTTAGACGAGCCTCGTGGAATTTTCAGACAAGTCTATAATATGGTTGCGTAGTTTTGGTGAAGTTTAAGATTTTTCTAAACAATCGAAAGGTATCTCGGGTAAATTTCCCGAGTGTTTTATATAGTGTGATATAATAATGATAATTGTAATATAATGTATTTACCAAGAAAAGGCTCACTGAGTCTCAAGATGCTTAATGAGTGTTTGGCTTGTGGAAGGAAACTGAAGTCGCCAGAGAAAAAACCCTGAGAGCTACGCACAGATAGATTCAAGAATCCATATTTGTACTGGTGGCGAGATTTTAACTACGTTCCCACGTATGAAGGAGGTGGTGGGTTCGATCCCGACCTTTACGCCTGTACATTTGGAGTTTGCAAGTTCTCCATCCCGGCCCTCCGGGTTTTCCCTCCACATTTAGAATCAACACGCGTTTCGAGTATTTGGCTGCTATACATTTCCTCGTGAAAAGCCGTTTAGCTATCATTTGTGACCAGGTGGCTTCTGAAAAAGAGCTGTATAGCTCAGTGGGTCTTACCTGGTAAAAATAAAGAAAAAGTTTTAGTTTAATTCGTGCTGCGACTGTAGGCTTACCCTCCTGGACACCTTGCAGCCCAAGCCGATAACACCCAATAGTCGCAGGCTATCAGGTTCCTGTCCAACTATTATCCAGACTCACAACGTGATTAGCTTCCGAGATCTGTCGAGATCGGACACATTTTAGGTCGATTTGATTGGGGGCATTGACAGGTGGAGCCACGTGTTATAGTAATGGGCTAATAACATGACCATATAATGCGTGCATAACTGCACTCGCCTGCCAGCCAAATAATTACTGCGTAAAACAGCTGAAACAGCTGTGACTTAGCCCGATTGTAATACACGCGGGCGCAGCGGTGGCGCAGTGATTAGCGCGCCGCAACTGCGCTATGAACCCGGTGACTCGAGTTGGATTCCTGGCCACGGCTCAAACTAGTAGCGATTTATATCTGAACCTTTCCTGGCCTCCGCCCCCCCCCCCCTTTTTTACCAACCCCCATCACTAGCGAGTGACACTTAAAACGGCCATACGATCGAGTATCACTTGACCAATCCGCACTGACCAGCGTGGTGAAGTATGGTCCCCCATAGCCGACACGGGATGTGGAGGCCTCCGTGCGGCTGTGGTTTTACCAGCGTTCTGTAAATTACAATTATTCCAGTAATGGGGTGTTTTTTTTTATATTCGCGTGTGTCAACGTGACCGCGTGCCAATGTGGTTAAGAAAGGTCTACAGACCTGGCTCTCACTCGCCTCAATTATGTCGTTTGTTTATTCAGCACAGCCTCAATGAGGCTTACGACACTTTTTCTTCAGGAGGGTCCTGCCCATGTTTTCGCAGTAAAACATTGGCATTTTTTTTCAATTGGGATGTTTTTCAAGTTTTATAATAATAATAATAAACTAAATGTTTGATGCGCATTCCGTCTTAGGATCCCAAAGCGCAATGCATGAAAAGCAGGAAACAAAAACAGAACCCAGGGGCAACCGACCAAACTGAAGAGGGAAGGCCACTTTAAAGAGATGGGGTTTTCAAAGCAGACTTAATGACATCTACCGACTGAGATTGCCCTGATTTCAAGTGGCAAGGCGCTCCATAGTTTGGGGGCCACGCTTACCAAAAGTCCCGATCGCCAAAAGGGCGCAACCTCGCGAACTCGCACTGTCACACCGGT